TATTATATATTATTAAATTATTATATAATTTTATAAAATTAAATACTTATTAATTCAAAACTTATTTATATTATTATTAATAAAAATTATATATAAAATTATTAATATTTAACCTTTATTTATTAATAATAAATACAAATCCTTTCGGATTTATTAACTTTTAAACAAATAATACCTTAAATATAAATATAACGGAATTCCTTATTATTAAAGATAAAATATTTATTAAAATAAGGATTAAAATATGTTTTTAAAAGATTTTAAATAATAAGATTAAAAATTTTAATAGTTTTTATATTATTATTTATAATAAAGATTATAAGATTATAATTACTTAAAAAAAACAAGTTAAAAAATTAACATTATTAAATATTAAATTTTTAGATATAATTAAATAATTTGTAAAACAAAGGGCTTAAAGAACGTACATTTCTTTTATATACTAACTTAAAACCGCCTTTAATTATTTAATAATAGTTTAACATCTTAAACTTAACTTAAAGGAAATTAAAGCCTTTAATACTAAAATTAAGTAATAAATAAATAATTAATTACAAAAACTTAATTATATTAACTTAAATCCTTAAAATTTATAATTATATATTTTTATTAATAAATTATTTATAAATAATAAGGACTTTAATTTATAAATTAATTATATTATTATTTTAAATAATAAAAGATTTATAAATTAAAATAATAAATTTTAAATTATTAAAAATATTATTTATTAATTTTTTATTAAATATAAATATATTACTTATAACATATTTATTAATAAAATTTATAAAATAATATAAAGTTTTAATATAAGTTTTATTATTTATTACTTTATTAATATTATTTTAAATTAATTATTAATTTTAAAGGCTTTTTTTATTTTATATATTAATTCTTTTTCTTTATATTAATACTTAATATAAATAAGGAACATTAATAAAAAAAATTAATAATTAACTTAATAACTTTATAATAATTTTATAAAAATTAAAAAATAAATAATATTTATTAAATTCATAATATATATAACTTAATTAATATTATAATTAAGGTATTACTGAATAAGGTTATAAAATTATTAGTAAAAAATAATTAAATTAATTTACGCTTAAAAAGATAAGTAAAACGTAAAAAACTTAAGAGCAATTATATGCTATTACAATAATAAGCTATTACAGCCAAGAACAAGCATCAGCCACAATAAAAAATATTATACAAGAATTTACTAATCAGCTTAAGTATAAGATAATATAATATGGATTAATACGGCTTAACGTGTAAAATAGCCTTTAATTTAGGCCATTATACTTTTAACCTTAACTTGTTATAAAAGTGTGCAATACGTTAGTATAAATGCATACTATTATAATTATATTTTAACCTATATATAAGTTAATTTATATACATATTAGCATATATTTGGATTAACGTAAGTACGTGCTATTGTAAAAGTTTTTTTTTTCTATTTTTACAAAATTCTTTTTCATTATATAATTAACTTCGTAATTAATTAATTGCAAAAAGAAAATAAAGTAAATAATGGTTATATAATATAATATATAAGCACATTATTAAGGATAAAGTGCCTTATTACCAATATTGGAAAAAGGAACAATATATTTATTATTACTGTATAAAAAGATATTACACTATTAATTAACCTTAAATAAATTTTTCCTTCTTTAAACATTATTAATATATTAATCTTACCTTATTATTATTTTATTTACTTATTTATTATTTTATATTATACGTACGTACTTACTAACAGAAATAATAATATATTTATTTACTTTATAAAATTTAATTATATTAAAATAAAAATAATTAATATAATAAAGTTTTTATTTATTAAAATTAAAATAATAATTTTAGTTAAAGTTTTATGCAATTTAATTAATATTTTATAAAAAGTTTTTTATATTATTATTTTTTAAAATAATTTATAATATTATAATAATATTATTACCTTAATTTTAATTAAATATAATATTTAATAAGTTTTATGTGAAAATTGAAAATAATTTAAATTTAAAAGTAATTTTATATAATTATTAAATAATTTAGATTTTATTTAGATTTATTATGTTTTAAATATTATTTAAACTTTTTAAATTTGTTTAATTATTTTTTAGTTTTTAAATAATCTTTTAATTTGGAAAGTTTTTTTTAAACATATTTTTTAAAGCTAATTTTCGTGACTTTAAATAAGTGAGTTTATAAAAGAGAATTAATTAATTAAGTTTTTTATTAGTGAATTTAAGCTTAAAAAAATATGTGTAACTTTTATAAAGGTAATTTAAAATTATTAATGTATTATAAAAATATGTTATTTTTTAAATTAATAAAATTTAATGTATTACAATAAAAAGTTTATTATATAATTAATATTTTAAATTTTAAATTAGTTTATAATTTAAAGATTTTAAGTATTTTCGTTTATTATATGTTTTAAATAAAAAGGATATATTTATAATTTTAAATTTAATTTATTTATTAAATAATTAAAGGTAAAATTTAGTATTTGGTTTTTATTTTATTTAAAAAAAGTATAATAATTTATATTATTTTATTTTAAATTTTATAAATTTAAATAAACTGTAAGTATTTATTTAAAAAGGTAATAATTTAATAGTAATTAATAATATTTAAAGATTTATTAAATATAAGGTTAAAAAATTAATTTGTTAAAGGACTTTATTAATAATATTAAAAAAATGAAAATTAATATTAAAAGGATAAAGGATTAATAAAAAAAGGAAATTTATTAAATAAAATGTTGAAAGAATTTGTTAAAGAAAATTAAGTTATTTATTATATAATTAAAAGATATATAATTAAGAAAATAATGATTATTAGGTTTAAGATTTTAAAAAAAGTGTAACGGATTTTAAAGGAAAAATAATTATTAATTTTAAGATTTTTTTTTAAAAAATAACGGATTTTAAAAAAAGAAAAGTTATTATATAATTTATTATAAAGTTAATTTATAAAAAGGTATAATTTTAAAAATATATAATTTATTTATTTTTAAGAAGATATTATTTTAATAAAGGAGAAAGAATAAATAAACTTTTTGTAAAAAAGTAAAAAGTTTTAAATATAAAAGGTTATTATAAAAAGGTAAAAAATTGTCTTTAAAGGTTAAAAAGTATAAAGTTAAAATGGAATTAAAATTATAAAGCATTTATTAAGTATAATATTAAATTTAAGGATATATTTTTATAAAAAGAATAGAATTAAATAAAAAGTTAATTTAATAATATTAAATTTAAAAATAATTTACTTTAATTAATTATCCAAGCAAGTAAAAAAATTAAAATAATAATATTAAAAACAATTAAATAATAGTTAAAAGTAATCTTTTAAATAAATATTATTAAATGTTTTAACGTTATAATATTTACGAGAATATAAGTTATAATTTAAAAATATATTAAATTAAAATAAAAGTTTTTAATAATAAAAATTAATTATATAATTAATTAATTTAATGTATTATAATTAAATTATAATAATTTTAATTAAAAAAATGTAAAATCGTAAATTATTAACCCGTGTAAATTATTAACTTATAATTTACATTATTATTAAAATATATATATTATAAATATTAATATTAAATTATTTTTTTAAATTATTTTTTATATATATTTTTATTTTTTATTATAATTACGTTTTTAATTAAATTTATAAGTAATTAAGTTTTTTATTTTTTTTATATTAATAAGTTTTATATATATAATATTAAATTTTATAAAGTTTTTAAATAATAAAATTAAACATTAATTTTAATATTATATTTTAAATTTATTAAAACTTATTTATTTTTAATTAATAAAATTAAATTTACTTTTAATAATAAATTTATAAATAAAATTAACAATATTAAATATATTTTTTAAATAAATAAAAATATAAAATATTGTTTAAAATTTATTAAAATCTTTATAATTTATATATAATTTAATTTAAAAAATTATTTTTTAAATTTAATATTTTTTATTTTTTTCATAATTTAAAATAATAAGAATATTAATTTAAAATTTATAAGTTTTTATATTAAATTTATTAATTTCTTTTATGTGATTTTTAATATTATATAAATAATATTATATAATTAACTTTATTATAAAATTAAGTTAAAAATTAATAATTTAATTTTTAAAAAAATTAAATACGAATTTCAAAAAGGTTTAATATATTTAATTTATATAAATTATATTAAAAAAATTAATTAAAAAAAAATTTTTAACTAATTTTTTTAATATTTAAAACTTTTTTTATTATATAAATTTAAGTTTTTAAAATTTTATTTATTTAATTATAAATGAAAAATCTTTTTAATATTTAATAAATAATCTTTTATTTTTAAACGAAAAAAATTTATAATAGTTTAATTTTTTAAAATATTATTATTTTTAAATTTTTTTTAAATTTATAATAAATTTATTATATAATTTTTATTATAATTTTATATTATTTAATTATAAAAAACTGAATTATTTATATAAATTTTTTTATAAATTAAAACTTTTTTTTTAAAAAAAATTGAAAAATTTAAATTTCGTTATTTTCGCACTTAAAAGCCACGTGCCTTTAATACGTGATATTAAAGGCCATCTTATCTTTTCTCCGTGTGCCTCGCGCATAGCTTATCTTAAGTTCCTAAACTAGTTTGTAACATCATGTACTTATTACCGTTCTTTTATCGTACGGTATAACGCAACAATGGTTTCAAAATCCTTATGACCATCGCATGGAAACAGTAATATATACGTAACAAGGTAAGTTATAATCCACTTAGTTTAACATGTAAACGAGGAAAGGTCCTGGTTTACAAGTTTACATAAAACAATGTATGCGACAGTTGTGTTAATCGCGTTTATCATAAGAGATTAAGTTCGATAAAGCTCTTATGTAAGTCAATCTCTATCATATCATCAGAATGACATCTGAAATTTGAGGTAATAAGTAATATATTTGCCTTTAGCTTTATCCTCACATGTCACTTTTGCCTTTTCTTATGTACTTACACACTTCGTAAGAGGTGAGCTTGCTGAAAAGAAAGTAGGTCGCTACTTTCGTAATCATAGTGGGGTTACTTCCTAGGTACCCTGCATTAAGTACATCAGATAAGCGTGCTACATTAGCTGATTAAGGACCCTGCTAGAAGTGGTGGGTTAAGCGATTGACAGTAAATACCTCTCTCAAACGGACTAGTAATACACACGGTCGCCGTAGGTTGCCCCTCATCAACTGGCCAATTCTTCGCCTGAGCTGGACTTTCTTGAGCAAGTCTGCGAGAGAAGGTGGGGTTAATCCGTAAACTCGTTTTAACTTTTCTGAAATGTTTATATTTTAGAAATACCTCACATCACGTTGTTCCATGAACTCTTCTTCGATTCTCATCTTCCCTCTCTGTTCCAGTTCCCATCATCTTTCCCTCTTTCTTGTTCAACACATTACTGTCGTCTTCGGGACTTACCAAACGGTTGTCTAAGACTCTTTATATACCTCTTCGTCCCAGTTTTAGCCTTTTTCTGAGCAGCTTCCAAACATGTCTCCCTCCTCTCTCGATCATCTTGCCTTGGGCGGCCGTGTCGAATGGCTTGCGAGTCTCAATACCTCTACTGCTCCCGTGCAGAACTCTCACCGGCGAACCTCTATCATCTGTACTATCGGCCCCAAGACCAATTCGGTCGAGAAGATCAATTCTCTGTTAGTCTAGACCCGTCTATTTAATTCCTGGAAGCTAATCCCGGCCCAGTCGACAAGCAGGTCTTAATATCGTCCGCATGGTAAGAATCAACTCCTCCCTCAAGACAATGCAACTCCTTCACGTACTAATTTGAATCATATGTAGAACTTCAGTCATGGAAGCTACGAATACCACCAGTCTGTCATCGACAACACTCGCGCCGCGGAGAAACAGCAGCCCGGCCGACAAGTCGCTATCGCTTTGGACACAAAAGGACCCGAGATCCGCACTGGTGATACTGAGCGTGGTGAAGATATCCCCCTCAAGGCAGGACAAGTCCTAAACATTACCACGGACGAGAAGTACAAGACAGCATGCACCGCAGAGAACATGTACGGTGTAAATTCATTGTCGTCGTAGAATTATGGGCCATGGCGCTAACAGAACTTACAGGTATGTTGATTATAAAAACATCACCAAAGTGATCCAACCGGGGAAGATAATATACGTCGACGATGGTGTGCTCGCTTTGGACGTACTCCAGATCAAGGACGACAAGACTATCGAAGTCCGCGCCCGCAATAACGGGTTTATCTCCTCCCGAAAGGGCGTTAACCTTCCTGACACTGACGTCGATCTCCCTGCTTTATCGGAGAAAGACAAGCAAGATCTCCGATTTGGGGTCCAGAACAACGTCGACATGGTTTTTGCAAGCTTTATTCGACGAGGTGAGGACATCCGTGCGATTCGTGAGGTCCTTGGAGAGGACGGTAAACACATCCAGATTATTGCTAAGGTCAGTAGTGACATATTATGCCTTTCTCTGCTCCATGGTAAACTTGAAGGCTAATTTAACGACCTGCAGATTGAGAACCGTCAAGGGTATGTCTTCATTGTCCGGAGATGGAATTGCCTTTCAATTCGAGTTATAGCCTCTTGCGCTGTGGAATGGGCTGTATCCTAGATGTTCTAGCTGGATGATGCTGACAAAAAAAACCCACAGGCTTAACAACTTTGATGAAATTCTTGAGGAGACCGATGGTGTTATGGTAGCTCGAGGAGATCTCGGCATTGAGATCCCGGCCTATGAAGTCTTCGCCGCCCAGAAGAAATTGATTGCGAAGTGCAACATTGCTGGCAAACCTGTGATTTGCGCCACGCAAATGTTGGAAAGCATGATTACCAACCCTCGTCCAACCAGGGCAGAAATCAGTGATGTTGGTAACGCTGTTACCGACGGAGCTGACTGTGTCATGCTCAGCGGCGAGACGGCCAAAGGTGCGTATCCGGAGCTGGCCGTCCGTGAGATGAGCAACACCTGCCTTGCCGCCGAGAACTCAATCCCCTACGTTAGCCATTACGAGGAGATGGTAACGCTGTCAAAACGTCCCACGAGCGTTGTCGAGGCCTGCGCTATGGCTGCCGTACGAGCATCTCTAGATCTGAATGCGGGAGCTATTATTGTTCTCTCAACATCTGGTGACTCGGCCCGTCTACTATCGAAGTACCGACCGGTGTGCCCAATTTTCATGGTCACGCGAAATGCATCCGCGTCGCGCTTTGCCCACCTGTACCGTGGTGTTTATCCTTTCCTATTTGACGAAGCAAAGCCAAACTATGACAATGTCAACTGGCAAGAGGACGTAGACCGTCGTATCAAATGGGCTGTTGAAAGGGCATTGGGATTGGAACTACTGAAGAAGAGTGATACCATTGTCGTTGTTCAAGGCTGGAGAGGCGGTATGGGTAATACAAACACAACACGGATCGTCAAGGCCGATCCGGCATCCCTAGGGTTAGGAATGATGCATTGATTGGACGCAACCGACGCACTTTGTGCAATGATATGAGCAAGGAACTTCCGGAAGGTAGGTAGTTTATCTAGAGAGTCTCTACGGCGTCATAAGTCAGATGGCAACAGGATGATGGCATGATTGCTGGGAAGAGGCATTAGAGATGAATATAAATAAATAGGATTGATTGCATTCTTTGTGCCTTGCTTGGTTTAGGCAAGGGAGTACATTTACCTATACCGTATTATGTGCTGTACCTGTTGTAGGCTGTAGCCTCCTAGGGCGATCCACAAAGGTACCTAGGTAAGATACATATTTCATTGAGTTTATTATACCAGGTAGGTGATGTGTACCTACATGATCGCAACGTACAAACCGAGGGCCCCCCGTGTGGTGGACCACAAAAGCCCGACTTTAGGAGTATCCTGTGCCCGACTTTAGGAGGGATGTTGTGTCGGAGTATGGTAAGAAGGATTACTAAGATAGGAAATTCTCACTTAACGAATTGGGAAGACTAAAAGTGGAGTAGAAGTAGGTAAGTACGTTAGTACTTAATCTTGGATGGAAAATGACTTAAATTAATTAGGTACTTAAGGAAGATGAAAATGGAAAGATATATTGGGACTTACCTTATATAATGACTATGACATGCTCCTAAAGTCGGGCTCTTGTGGTCCCCTACACGGGGGGACCCTCGGTTTACCAATGTACTCTTCTATTTTGGCCAAAACATTTCCTATACAAGTAATCCTTAGGTTAGCTAATCCGATACAACACAATATCCCTCCTAAAGTCGGGCATCGTGTTGGAACTTACATTAGGTATAGGTACCTACCTAAATAAGTCCTAAACGGGCAGGTACTTGCAGGCTACAGCCAGGTACGTGCATAAAAGTGAGTGTGGGCAATTGAATAAAATTTATTCAACCCAACCCCACTTATTAGAGCGGCAAGTGCCCCGCGTTTACTAGGGACCCCTCGAAACCTTCGACGTTGACTCACTGCGAAATTTTGGCGGGGTCTTTTTTTTGGTTTCTAACATTAACTCGAGATTCGATTAAGATATCACAAGTCCTTAATATCCTTCAGGCACACTCAGCAGACTACAGTCCCCTAGGGCTGTCGCGCTTCGCCAATATGAGCATTAGTTTCCCAAAGACCGAAGAAGAAACCGTCCAGTTCTGGCGAGAAGTTGATGCGTTTCAAACACAACTGAAGCTCACCGAAGGCCAGAAGCGCTTCACCTTCTACGATGGCCCGCCCTTTGCAACCGGTCTTCCTCATTACGGCCACCTTCTAACATCCACGATCAAAGACATTATTCCTCGGTATTGGTCTATGAAGGGCTACCATGTCATCCGTCGCTTTGGTTGGGATACGCATGGCCTTCCCATCGAGTACGAGATTGATAAGACTTTGGGTGTATCCGGCCGAGATGCCGTCTTGAGAATGGGCATAGAAAAGTACAATGCTGAATGTAGAGCCATTGTTATGAGGTACGCAGCAGAATGGAGGCAGACCATTGAGCGTCTCGGCCGCTGGATAGATTTTGACAACGGTGAGTTAGGTCACTTGTTCAATTCAAACTGGTAGCATGACACTGATGTCGCGGGTTAAGATTACAAGTCTATGGATGTCAAGTTCATGGAATCTTGCTGGTGGGTTTTCAAGCAACTCTACGATAAGGACCAGGTCTACCGCGCGTACCAGATTATGCCCTTTTCCACCGCACTCTGCACCCCGCTGAGCCATATGGAATCTAAGCAAAACGAGAAGACGACACAGGATCCAGCAGTCCTTATCGGCTTTCCCGTGAAAGGCAGAGACTCGTCCTTGGTTATCTATACTACGACGCCCTGGACGCTGCCTTCTAACCTCTTTATTGCCGTTCACCCTGACTTCGAATACGTCGAAATTCTTGACGAGGACTCCGGCAAACAATACATTCTCCTTGAAAGTGGTATTTCAATGCTATACAAGGAGAAGAAGAAGCCAAAATACAAGGTCGTAGGCAAACTCAAGGGCAAGGACATGATTGGTTGGAAGTACGAGCCTTTGTTTCGCTACTTCGCCGAGCAGTTCGCCGACTGTTTCCAGGTCATAGGTGCCGACTACGTTGAGGCTGACGAAGGTACCGGTCTTGTACACCAGGCTCCCGCTTTCGGCCAAGAAGATTACGATGCCGCAGTCGCTGCCGGCTTCATAAGTCCAAAGCGTTTACCCCCGTGTCCGGTTGATGACAAGGGTCTCTTTACAGCCGAGATAACCGAATATGCTGGCCAACACGTGAAATCTGCCGATAAGGCCATCATCAAGGACCTGAAGGAGACTGGTCGTCTACTGCTCGCAACACAAGTGTCCCACGTGGATAAGTTCTGCTGGCGGTCCGACACGCAACTAATTAGGAAAGCGGTGTCTTCCTGGTTTATCCGGGTTACCAACTCTATACCCGACATGCTCAGCAATCTCGAGTCGACTACCTGGGTTCCTTCCTTTGTCAAAGAGAAGCGATTTGCAAACTGGGTGGCTAACGCACATGACTGGAATATTGCCCGCAACCGCTACTGGGGTACACCGATTCCATTATGGGTTAGCGAGGATTATGAGGAAGTTGTCTGCGTGGGAAGTATTGCCGAACTCAAAGAACTGAGTGGGTATACCGGCTCGCTAGAAGATATCCACCGAGACAAGATTGATGGGATTACAATTCCCTCTAAAAAAGGAAAGGGGCAACTTCGTCGAATCGACGAAGTTTTTGATTGCTGGTTTGAGTCAGGCAGCATGCCGTATGCCTCCAACCATTTTCCATTTGAGAATTCCGAGCAGTTTCACAACGGAAACTTCCCAGCTGATTTCATTGCTGAAGGACTTGACCAAACCCGTAAGTATCACACTCGCGCCTGAAGTTATTTAATACTAGCCTACGTTCTAGAGGCGTTCCGCCAAGGTACCGTGGTTGCTGACTCTGTCGGAATCTAGGTGGTTGGTTTTACACACTTAGCATCCTAGGAAATAAGCTTTTTGGCGTCTCCCCATTCCGGGCGGTGATTGTAAATGGTCTAGTTCTAGCAGAGGACGGCAAGAAGATGTCCAAGAGCTTAAAGAACTACCCAGATCCCAAAGCTGTAATCGATCAATATGGCTCCGACGCTTTGCGTCTTTACCTCATTAACTCTCCAGTCGTCCGCGGCGAGCCTCTGCGCTTCAAGGAGTCGGGAGTTAAGGAGGTGGTAGCAAAGGTGCTGCTGCCTCTGTGGAACAGCTACCGCTTCTTTTACGAACAGGCAGCCCTATTCAAGAAAACGACTGGCAATGACTTCGTCGCCCAGTTACCAGAAACAACCAATGTTATGGATCGATGGATTCTCGCAGACTGCCAGAGCATGTTACAGTTTATTGATCAAGAGATGGCCGGTGAGTCGCTAGTCCTACCTGAATAGACTATCTGCTAACTTCAAAGGCTACCGTCTTTACACTGTCGTGCCGCGTCTACTTCTAGTTATCGACAACCTAACGAACTGGTATATTCGCTTCAACCGGAAGAGACTCAAGGGTGCCGCTGGCTTGGACGTTAAAGACACCAAGGCGGCACTGGATACGCTATGCCAAGTGCTATTCATATTGGTTCGGGCCTTAGCACCTTTCACCCCTTTCATTACTGAGCATATCTACCGTCTCCTGCAGCCGTACCTTGGTAACGCTCTTTCGGGTTATTCCAATTCCAAGAGTGTGCACTTCCTTACCTTCCCGACTGTACAAGAGTCACTCTTCGACGAGGTAATCCAAAGAAAGGTGTCTGCCATGCAAAAAGTAATCCAGCTCGCAAGAACGGCGCGCGAGCGTAAAACTATCCCACTGAAGACGCCCTTGCTCACTCTTGTTATTATCGCTGACGAACAGCAACTTAGCGATATTGAGGAGCTGCAAACATACGTCAAGGAAGAGCTCAATATTCGAGACGTAGTTTTGACGAATGACGAGGAACGATACGGCATTCACCTCGAGGCCCGGGTAGATTGGCCTATTCTAGGCAAGAAGCTAAAGCGCGATGCCCAGGTCGTGCGTAAAGCGCTACCAGACCTCACACAGGAGCAACTCAGACAGTATTTGAAAGAGCAAAAGATAACCATCAAGGGTATTGAGCTCGAGGGCAACGATCTCAGCATTGTGCGGGCTATAGCTAAGGATAACCCAAATATTGTAAAAGATGAAGGTGTGCAATACGAACCTGCCTTCTTGGAGGACATGATTATTCTCTTGGATACGGCATCGCACCCGGAGCTCATTGACGATGGAATCGCCCGAGATGTGATGACTCGTGTGCAAAAAATGCGGAAGACGGCCGGGCTTGTCCCAACTGATGACGTTCGCATGCAATATAGCGTTGTTTCGAACCCCGACGGTATTCAATTCGATACGTTAGTATCCTCCCGACGCTCTCAGTTTGAGAGCACTGTACGTGGACCATTGGAGCCAATTGCGTCCGAAGGACCAGCAGAGACGGTTATATTAGAGGAGGAGCATGTTCTCAGCAATCTAACCCTTTTGCTAAGATTGTGCCGGCTTTAATTAGGTAGATTGCATAGTGAAGTTATAGAATCAGCCGGGCCCTATGATCCCTGAGGCTTGATGGAACATAGAAGAGAGAGAGAGAAAAAAAGTTGAGCTTAAGAGCCTATAGAGGTACTGAGATAGGCATTGTGATATCAGCTGGAAGTGACCACAATAAAATTGCCCTCCTTATCGAAGTAACGTGTTTTTCTTTAATTTTTAATTTATTTATTTAGGATTTCCGCAAGCTGGTAATCTCGCTGAACGTAGTATTGTAGCCGTATCCGTAAATCGCTAAAAATGATAAGCCGAAGGGTACTATATACCCAAAGGTAGTATATCTACCTACCTGTTAGATAGATGTATTTAGAGGATTGGGGGCGCATGGTTTACAAAGTGTAAGACCGTGACATCAGTTGCTGGAGAACCAGCTGAGGACACAAGTTGAAGAAGGCGAAGTAATTATAGTGTTTGAAACAAGTTACGTTTGAAGACAAGTAGTATAATATCGGACTTAGCTGTGCCTTTGGGGCGTAAATTTTTTACAAAAACCCACCTCGGTACCTCTAAATACCTACTCAAAAATGGGTTTGCCGTGGAGTGATCTACCTACCCAGTATGTCCGTAGATGTATACAGACATGTAGGTAAAGGCAAGGGGACTTTGAGATTTGGGGATTTGTTCTGAGACAGTGTATGTTGATTGGTCAAATCCTAAGAGACTTGCCCGGGTTGCCCCTGAAGATATATATACATGTATCAATATGTACCTCCTATCTTGGGTAATAGGTATTAATGTACCGAATTCCTCCCAGTGGTACTTGCGTACAATGGGCTACGTGCTCGTAATTGTTAGAAGAGAACTTGACAGACTGTGTAGGATGATGCTAAAAGGGGCTGTCTTGTTCCTAAGTCTTGTACATGTCTCGCAAGGAATTCCTAAAACTAAAATTATCCTACCACGACTTACATCCGTCTTGCAGAGTATAGAACGCGCAAATGCTGAGGGCCTTTTCAGTTGACGGGAATTGATCAAAGAAAAGGTGTCTAATAAGAGATAAGTAATAATACCAAGGAAGATCCGAGGGGTTTAGCTCTTTTGGAATCGGGTCCCGAAGCACACAGACACACACAGACTCATGCTACATACTTACAACCAACGCTGTAAACCAGCGGGATCATCAATTCGGTACCTCCTTTTGGCAGAGTCATAGTACAAGCGCCCATTGCGGCTTTGCGATAGGACTTGGGCATAAGTCTTAGTGGTGTGCGTCGAGGAAAAAAAATAGTACATGATGCCACCATCACCGCCACTGCTATCATCGACGACAGCAACATCAAATCCATACTCGCGACTGAGATCTCCGCCGCTTCCAGCCTCGGCGTTGCAACCTTCCGTCTTCTCTCGAAATTACCAACGACGACTTGAAGAAAGTGTCCCGGTAACAGGCACATTGAAGAGTAAAACAAGCAATAAAAATATTTCGGACTATAATGGCGGACTAAACAGATTATATGGCGACGGTGAAGGCGGAGATGGAAGGATAATAAATGGAAGAATGAACGGAAGCAGTAGTGAGACTTTTAAGTCTAGCGCTGTCCGACTCACCGGACAAGGGCCGAAAAGCGAAAGCGCGGAAGAGACGGTTCAAAAAGGAGAAGCGGGAGCAGTAGTAGTAGAAGCAGGTACGACCACGACCGCGACCGCGTTAACCTTAATCGCCACTAGTCAAAACCAAAGCCAATCTCGTTCTCAATCTCGTCTCCAATCTAGTCTCCAATCTAGTCCCCATTTCGACCCGAACCTGAATCTCCATTGTCCTGCACGAGACACTGCACGAAAGCCTGCACGAGAGCCCCATCAGGACCCCCGTCAGAACCCCCATCCCTTAATTCGTCACAAACATAACCCCAGCCTTCATAACCCTCCTAACCCTCCAAATCCACCGCCTAGAACCTCGTCGCTTCTGCCGCCGCCTCGTAGCGCCAATACCAGAACAATATCCCCTGCGATTCCGCCCAAGCGTTCGACTGATTCACGTCTAGATAACTCGCGCGACCATTCGCGCAGCCATTCGCGCAATCATTCGCGATCTAGTGGTACCGGCGATGCGAGCGACGGCTTTCGAAATCTCAATCGCTGGTCCGCGTCTACTACATCGAGTTTAGCCTCTAATTACGATCACGATACCCCCCAATCCCAGTCCCAATTCCAATCCCAGAAGCCGCAACATCAACAAAAACAACAACAACAACAATCACAGCAGCAGCAAAAGCAAAAAGAACAATATAGACAACAGGCGATCCAATCTCCACCACGAAAACTAGGTAGAAAACGTCCTTCTAAGGATACGAGCGCGTCCCCAAGAACTCGAAGACCATTATCACCTCCTCCACCGCCTTCTTCCGCGACACCAAATCTACCCCCTGTTATTTCCCTTCCCCCTCTCGACACAAATCCCGAGCCGATTGTTCGCACCAAGTCTCCCGCGCATTCGAGTATTCGCGCCAATTCGGCCGAATCGCAAGATATTTCTTGGTATGACCTTGCCCACCCGAACATAGCGTCCAAAGGAAACCCTGCACTCCTTCCATCAGCGCCCGTTATCCGAGATATTATGTCCGAGAGGGAGAGGAAGAATCATGCGCGAGGTCGTTCTTCGGCTACAAAAGGAAGCATCGACTCGACGCGGGTCAATCGTGCCAGCAAGCCGTCGCAGAAAGCCATGTTGTCCAAAGCGTTGGCGAAAGCAAATGCCGCAGTGCAGTTAGATAATGCTCAGAACTATGCTGCCGCCCGGGATTCTTATCTAGAAGCTTGTGATCTCTTACAGCAAGTGCTTGCTAGGACAAATGGCGCAGAGGATAGAAGGAAGCTGGAGGCCATTGTAAGTCGACTAGCAGATTTTCTGTGATGAGTCATTGCTATTATTTCCAAAATTAACCCATTCTATTGTAGCGACTTACGTATACAAGCCGAATAGACGAACTAGACGATTTACTACCCGCCTACACGCAGAATGACAAAGCTTTACCCGCAAGGCCAGAGAGCGTCGATGATTATCACGGTGTCCAGATGGAATTGGCTGGTTCTGAAAGCTCCGCAGAGGCTCTGGCGGGGGCGAGGGTAGATACCGGCGAGTCCTCCTCTCCGAGTTTGAACCAAAGCCAACCGCTTCTCCAATCCTCTTTCTCGGGGTCCCGGATGCGCCGAAACTTCGAGGGAGCCTCGCTTACTTTACCCCACCAAGATGAAGGCTTTGTGCCTGCTCCGCTGTCGCCGCGAAGACCGCTTTCACCCTCTAAACCCCCAACGCCGGAGCCCATCGTACGGCAGGATTTCTCCTGGCCGTCTGATCACCTAGCACCGGATAGCGCGAGGAGTCATAAGCGCAATCTCAGTCACGAATCAGGGTCATGGCTAGACCCAATCGATGAATCGGGTGGCTCGACTTCGTCCTCGATTCACTCCAGGACCTCGTCGCTGGGAGTTAGGAGGAAACACCTCCGCCAGACTAGTGGCAATACGGAAGCGGAATTTGACGCTGCCCTAGACGCCGCAGTAGAGGCTGCTTACGACGAAGGATTTGAACCTATGGATTCATACGACCCCGTTTATGATGACAATGATTCCGATTCGGTCGATGTGTTAACCAACGCGAGACGTAAGGTAGAACTTGCTAAAGAAAGAGTCCGGCAAACTGAACGGGAGGCCGCGATCGAGCTAGCTCGGGAGCGAGAGCGCCAGAGGCAGATGTCAATAGATCAAAAGCCTCAGGTCTTCAGCGGAGATTTCTTCGATGCTAACGATTCGGATGAAGAGGAACGTGTACTGGAGGAGATGGCGAGGAGGTCCGTTATGGAAGAATTTACCCCTAAACATCGGTCTCAGCAGTCACAGTCAAGGATACCTAGGGAATCTGATTCCAGTGGAATGACTTCTCGGACGTGGCATAGTTCGGTCGGCTCGAACCCTCCCACCTCTACGACTGTACTGTCAACCGTAACGGAGATGCCACCGGGCGGAGCTTCTCTCAAAGGCACGGCCCCGGCATTGCCATCTCCACCGCAATCCCTTACTCAGGGTTCCCCATCGCAGACCTCTCCGACGTCTGGAGTGCGCAACCGTCGCCTCTCTGGGCAGAACCCTAAGCAGCTCAAAATCGAAACTTCAAAGCTCGGCCAGCCGCCGTCCATCTCCACGTCTACGCTACAAACAAAGACGGCCGGTGGTTTCATTGCCCAACAAAGGCAAGCATTGTCAGCGACATCAACGCGACCCGGGCCTTTTTCTACGCGTGTGCCCTCGTCACCTACTAGAGGTACCAGTCCAGCGGATGTTACAGCACCTCCAAGCCCACCGGTAAATTTAACAGGGTCGCAAGATGTCGAGGAGCATCGAAACGACTCGCCGTCCTCTGCGCGGCCTCCCATGCGGAAGAACTTTTCATCTTCTAGCCTAAAGTCCTTAAGAACGCGTCAATTTTCCGTGTCGCATATCGACGACTCCGATCTCTCGCCCAACACTCCTCTAAGTCACCAAATATCGAATACGTCGATCTCTCGCCAGGCCATGATTCCTGCACTGCCTACGCCATTAGCCGCTGCCTTCCACGAACGGATGGCGGGTGGTGTTGGCGGTCTACACCTCTTTGATTCCGATTTCCATTCTCCGACTTCACATTCTCCTAGCCAGGTTCACCACAACCATCATCTCTCCCAAAATCCCGATGTACCAATACCCCTAGAACCATGCCCATCTGATACTATGCTTCGGCCTTTCTGGCTCATGAGGGCGCTTTATCAGACCCTCGCTCACCCTCGGGGCGGATATATCAGCACTCGTCTATTCATTCCTAGGGATGCGTGGAAAGTCAAAGGAGTTAAGCTGCGTGCTCTTGAAGATAAAATCGCCCAGTGTGATTTTCTAACTGCGGCGCTTCTCAAACTTGCAAGGGTGGATAGTAACGACGCAGATGCAGTGCTTGAGGAGATGCAGAGCTTTGAAAATATTCTGGAAACCGTTCAGGCCATACTCACGCGGAAGCTTGGTAACGAGGTTGGCACACAGGGAATGACGCCCTTCCGAGAAGACAAGGAAACCGAGGTTGCGCCGTCGGTACCACGTAGTGCCAGCGTTAGTGGGAAGGGAGGCGCATTTAGCTGGAGAAGGCTGAGGAACAAGGGCTCGGCTGCTAATATGACTAACGCATATGGAGGGAAGAGCAACAGTGGAGGGAGCGGCGGGCCCGGCTTGAATGAGAGAGACATCCCTAGCTCGATAGGATCGGGATCTATTCCTAGCCTACCTTTAACTGCCCACCCGAGTAGCAGACCGGCGAAGAGGGACCCCGCGTCGGTCAATTTTGATGGGCCATACGGGAACTATATGGCGAGCTTGGCACGACTGTTTGATGCTGCGCAGACGGTTGGTAAGTCTTTTGGCGGCTTTGCATTCTCATTTGTTGCGGATTTTAACATCTCATAGATCAAATTGCGCGCCAAGTCGAAGACCCTGGATTGCGGCATGCGGATAAAACTCAAGTTGGGCTTGAATTATGTACTAGGCACGCGGCTGAGTTTTTTGGCTTCTATATCTGCCGCTTCGTACTGGCCGACCTGGCGATGTTGCTCGATAAGTTCGTCAAGAGGGGCAGCGAATGGGTGCTTAACTAAGGATTCACTCAATGCGAAGGACTACCGCTTATATTATGAGCGGGTCATTGGTTTCTATTGATACCTAGGGCAAACGTGTGACGAAGCGACGACGGTGTTAAAGAACACTTATTGAAATAGTGCCAGCGAGATTCCCTAGAACAAGTTTTGGGGTTGTGATCAGCACTTGACAGAAAGAGACAAGTTTGTAGAGGTTACGGCCTAATGTTGGGCCACGTTCGCGAGGAGTGTATCTATAAAGTTTGGAATTGCGAGTTGGACGAGTAAGGAAGGATTCACATTGGCGAAACCATAAACTCGCCTAGCTTTCTTTTATGTGTTATTTGAGGCGCTGAATTATATCCCCCACTGGCTGGTCTTATGACTTGATGTAAGATACCATAGGTCATTTGTTGTCTGATCTCTACTTCAGTTCGTTCGCGCAACGTATACACAGGCGAAGGCATCGAAGGCACTTGTTAGGATTTCCGGCCGTGTCACATTGTGTTTGATGGGGATACGATAATGAGCGCCTATAATTAAGTTTTCATTTCGTGAGTGTGCTATAGTTTGTGCCTCATTCTGTCTACCTATTTACTTTTTACTTGGATTCGGTCTGAATCTAAGCACTTATCTAGGTACCTTTTATTGGAAGCATCTATAAGAGTGTCCAAATACAACCCCCCCCCCCCCCCCCCTTTTTTTTTTTTTTTATACTGCTATTTATCAGAAGTCTTATGCCGTAGCCACTTCCACGATTGTCTTATAGAACTGTGCTGGGTCGTGCGCAAACCGCCCGAGAAACAGACCGTCCACCCCATCCTTCAGCCGCGCAAAAAGGCCTGGTCCGGCACTCCCCCCGTACAGGATCCTCGTGTTCCCCTCCCTGTTCCGCACGCAATTTAGATTCCGTAGTGCTCGCGTAACGGTAACCACGTGCTCCGGGCCTGCGGGCTCGGCGGCGCCGATGGCCCAGAGGGGCTCGTAGGCTAGGATTACTTCGGCAGTGCTGGGGAGGATTGATAGGACCGCTTCGACTTGCGTCTTGCACTCGCCGACGGCGACTTTAACTCCGGCTTGGCCATCTGCTTTGGAACGCTCTCCGACGCAGATTAAGGGAATCATACCGTTCCGCACGGCGGCGGCGGCTTTGCGCGCGGTATCGCCATCCGTCTCGCCGAAGATACGTCTACGTTCCGCGTGCCCTAGTTCCACAATACGACACCCAACTTCCTCGAGGACGGCGGGTGATACTTCGCCAGTATAAGCGCCAGTATCCTCATAGAAAGCATCTTGTGCGCCAGGGAGGATGGGGAGTGGAGAATTATTGAGTTGGGCAATCGTGGAGGCTAGAGTTATGTGGTCTGGTATTATAAAGATATCAATGGTGCTTAGCAAGTCTGTGTTCGAAGCGGAAGAGAGGATTTGCAGCAGCTCGTCGACGTATTGCTTGGTTCGGGCGGCGGAGAAATACATCTTTGTGGAGACTCCGACGATGCGGCGGCGTCGTAGAGGGGATGAGGCCATAGTTGCAGTGATTTAATATTATATTTTGTATACCTTTTGGACTTTAGGCAATGTAAGGTAGGTACCTAGGTATAATAATAGGTAACTCCTAAATTATTAATTACCTCTAGGTACCTGGTATTAGTTTACCTAGGTATATAGTACCTGTCAACCTAGTTGGAGTTGGTTATTGGTTATGTGTTGTTAGGTTGACTGGTTGAGATAGGTACCCAGCTTATAGTGACTTCTCGAGGTGGCTGATGACCTCTACTTTGGCGGCGCTCGCGCTCTTCTCGTCGAATACGTATCCCAGCCACTCCTTGGCCAACCTGCGCGCGAGCTCTAAACCGATAACCCTCTCCCCCATACATAGGACTTGGGCGTTGTTGCTCAGCACGGCTCGCTCGACTGAGAAGCTGTCGTGAGCCGTCACCGCGCGAACGCCCTTAATTTTATTCGCCGCGATGGCAACTCCTAGACCTGTGCCGCAGATAAGTAGAGCCCTGTCAACCTTGCCCTCGGCAACGAGCTGTGCTGCGGCTGCTGCTCTGTGTGGATAGGCCGTCTTGTCGTCTGCCGAAAGACTGCCGACGTCTGTGACAGACTCGACTCGGGGATCCTTTTCGAAGTCCTCTTTAATCTTGCTCTTATAGCCGACACCGGCATCCTGTATAAATAAGTGCGATTAGAATTGCGCTAAACTTTGACGCATGAATATATGTAGGTATATATAAGTATATGAGTGAGCATCGACGAGAAGTATGAGAACATTGAAAGAATAAATCGAAGAAGAAACATACGTCGGATCCTATTGCTATCTTCCACTTGGGTTCGGTTGTCATTATTGTAGCTTCCTATCGTCTAGAGGGGGTTAGCTGTTGATGGGTTAAGAGATAGAGAATGGAGCTAAAGTGCAAGTGTAAGTGCAAGTGCAAGTGCAAGTATAATAACAAGTATAACTTATAAGTGATTAGTCGGGCTCATGCCATGGAGTAACCCAACCGGCGTGGTTTCCACTTCTGCAAGTTGTGATAGGTACTACTCGGTAGGTCTTAAAAAAGTAAGAAGGAGAGGATGTGACATGAGACTATTCGATGCCGCAACTTCTTCTTGCTCGGCACGCTAGACCCTTCCTGCTTGTGTACAAATTCGTTTCGGTAAGTAGTGACTTCCCCGGAAAGCTAGATGCCTCATATAACAAGCGCATTCTCTTTGTTTGTTCTGAGTCGTCCTTTCCAAGTTCCAAGTGACCCCAAGTACCTACCTAGGTAGGTAATCCCAAGTAAGCCCAGGTGGGTTGCGCTATGGTACCTAGGCAAGTCTACATAGTATAGGCAACTTATCGGATTGCTGCTTTAGGCAATCCGATGGCTAATATCTGAATTTACCCCTATGGTTCACGGGTTCGCCATTTCTTTCTCGGCATTGCCGTTCGTAATACATCTTTCTTCACCCCTCCTTCGGTAATCATGCGGACTACGAAGTTTGTCCCTAAATGGAACCTGGATGAACATGAATGGAACTCGCCATTTACGAAATAGGGAGCTTTTGTGCCAAGTGATTTCGGAGGAGGGCATTGAGCTATAGTCGATACGGTATACCATCAAGAGCGAATATAAGGAGCTAATACCATGGCTCCACGGTTCCACGGTTCCATGGAATAACAACCTGTGGTGTTGCCTCTTATGGCAACCCCTCGCGTCACTCATACGTCTCCAAAACTCCGTACGTTCCTATGTGTTCCACGGTCCTAAATCTTCATAATCTCGATCTTTCACGTAATAGAGCATGATAATATTCGGAAACGCCTACTCTGAGCCCGTATCTCTTGGCCTTTGTTCGATGTGATAGAAAGAGCCGCCCTCTCGCCAGTCTTTGACGAGTAGACATCGCTTAGCAACTTCAATCGTACTTTTTCTTAAAACTCCCGTGTTATGTCCATTCACCGGCACCGTAGAAATGTCAAAACGTCATCTCTATCATTCCTCAGATGGACTTGTCACCAAGGCCATTAGAGGTCTCATCTCCTACAACCCTTCGCTTAGTTTGGATGAATCCAACCGAGTGGTATTCGATACGGCATACAACAAGTCTAATGTCTCTATAGTCAGTGGCGGTGGTTCGGGTCACGAACCTGCTTGGTCCGGCTATGTTGGTCAGAACCTGCTTGCTGCTTCCGTGGCCGGTGATATTTTCGCCTCGCCCAGCACAAAGCAGATTCTCTCCGCTATCGACAGAGTACCTTCGGAAAAAGGTACTATCTTAGTTATTACTAATTACACTGGCGATTGCTTGCACTTCGGTTTGGCGAATGAGAAAGCTATCGCCAAAGGCCACAAGTGCAGAATGATTATTTGCGGAGACGACGTATCAGTCGGAAAGAAAGGCAGCCTGGTCGGCAGGAGAGGTCTAGCGGGACAGCTAGGTGTACTCAAAGTACTCGGCGGTGCTGCTGGTGCTGGAGGTTCTCTCGACCAGGTGTACGATCTCGGCGTTTCGTTTTCGCAGCAGATCGTTTCTATCGCGGCTACGCTCGATCACTGCCATGTTCCCGGACGGACAGAGTTCGCGATGCTGGGAGCTGACCAAGTGGAAATCGGCACTGGTCCACACAACGAACCTGGCTACCGAAAACTCTCACCTGTGCCGTCAGCCGAAGAACTCGTTCGGGAACTACTAAAGTACTGCTTAGATGAGACGGATCCTGAGCGGGGCTACGTGAAGTTTAAACCTGGAGATGAGGTCATTCTTCTTGTTAGCAACTTCGGGGGCATGTCGCATCTCGAGATGGGAGCGCTGCTGGACGACTTGCTCGAACAGCTAGCAAATAATTGGAATATTGTGCCGGTGAGGATCAGCAATGGCTTCCTCGAAACATCTCTTAACGCGCCGGCATTCTCGATATCTATCGTCAACGCAACGGCCGCCGCTGAGAACTGCTCATACTCTGTCGAAGATATCAAGTCCTTCTTCGACGCTAAAACTAACACATACTGGGAATCCATGACCGGGTCCCAAGTGATACGGCGAAGCAGAAAAGAGCAATTTGTACAGCCGCCTGCCGAGCCTCAAAAGATCATTGAGGAAGGGAAGGACCTGAAAGTTGACCCTGCTCTGCTAGATAGCATACTTCGCAGCGCTTGCAAGGAGTTAATAGTCGCTGAGCCTGATCTAACCAAGTGGGACACGATTATGGGCGATGGTGACTGCGGCGAGACGCTCAAGACTGGCGCGAGCTGTCTTATTTCCGCGCTGGATAAGAAACTCGCAGCAGAAGGATCTGTGATTGCGGTGCTCCAAGAACTCGAAGAGATCGTCGAGGGTAAGATGGGTGGCACCCTAGGTGGTATCCTAGGTATTTTCTTCGTCTCACTGAGAACAGCTCTTCAGGATAATATTGCGCTGGCTCAGAGTGAAGGACTTCCGAACTTGTGGGCCAAAGCTGTCTGGACAGCTTTGGACAACTTGAGCCGATACACGCCGGCTAAGGTCGGGGATAGGACAGTAATGGATACCTTGATCCCATTCGCAGAGGGCCTGCGCTCAGGAGGCCTTGCGGGTGGTGCCGAAGGCGCGATCAAGGGCGCCGAACTAACGAAGACGCTGAAGCCGAGACTGGGCAGAGCGACTTATGTCGGCGCGGATAACAGTAAGGAGCTGCCTCCAGACCCTGGCGCTTGGGGTGCTATGGTCGTTATAAAGGGCTTGAAGTTGGGTAAATAAGTGCGTATATTGGTCGTGATATATGCCAAAGTATATAAAATGTATATGGGGTTGTTGACATGTTATTTACCTATATACCTTCCTGTCTTTAGGGCACTTACTGCGTATGGTAAGACGAGGCAAGGGGATAAATTCGCCTAGGTACCTACATATTTGTGTATCAACAAGAGCTACGCGTGTCCATGTATGAACGTGCCTAAGTAATGTAATATAAAGAAAGTGGTATTTGTTTAACCCTTCAACCTAGGTTGTATCGCTTTCTTACGCCTTACCGGCGCTACCAAGCCAACGCATATACTGTTCGATAGCGGCCTGCATCCTATCGGTACCAGCCTCGATGACGCTGGTTAGGGGCTTGCCGCGCATCTCATCCTGCACGGCGGCGTAATGCTTATTCATGCCTTTATTGATATTAACTTTGGACACGCCCGCTTTGATGCATCGCTTGAAGATGTCTTCTGTGAAGGGATCCGCGCCGTGCAGCACTAATCGCACCTTATCGCCAACAGCTTTGTTGATAGACTCCAGCCGCTCGTATTCCAGCTGGATCCCCCGCGGCCCGTACTCCCCGTGCACGTTGCCGAAGGCCGGCGCTAGCATCTCGATTCCTGTGGCGACGAACTCTTGTGCTTGCTCAGGGGTAGTTAAGATGGCTTCTAGATCGGCCGTTTCCGCCACGCCGTCTTCCCCGCCTTCGATCCGGCCGGGCTCGGCTTCTGTAGTGATGCCGCGCTCGTGGCAGTACACGGATAGTTCCCTAGTTAGAGCCAGGTTCTCGTCCTTCTCATAATGGCTCATGTCGCACATGATGCTGTCAAACCCATCCTCGATATCCGCCGCGCGCCGTACGAGCTCCGGCGTCTGCGCGTGGTCCAGATGCAGGCTGATGGGAACTTTGGCGTTGTGTGCGGCGTCAGCAGCTGCGCGCACGAGGGACGCGCCGGCGTACTCGATGGCCCAGGGAAATAGCAGGACCATGGCAGGAGACCTGGCAGCTTCGGCAGCGCGGACCGTGGCGATTATGGATTCGATGTTGTAGCAGCACATTCCTGGGACAGCATACCCTCCATCGCGGGCTTTGTTGAGGATTGCTAGGGAGCGGTTTTCAGAGAGTTTCGGACGGACCATTTTGCTTAAAGGTATTTGATATAAAGCTAAGTTGAATCCGACTTAACTATTTCATGTACAAGTGGTTTGTGCTATCTACAACTTTAGATTCTGCTGTGGTCACAAAGTCGAAGTTGAATTGGTCGGTATGTAAACTCCGCGAGAGAGAGAGATAGAGAAAAAGAGTCTGGAGTGAACAAGTACCTAATAACAAGTACTTAATATTAGTATAGTATTATTGTATAATTATTATTATTAGTTTAGGTAGTTTCTTTATTCGCTGACCACACACGGAATTATACCGTCGCGAGCTACCGGCATCTCCTCTATCTCCAAGAGTATTGGTGGTGATCAAAGGAAATGACAAAAAAAATCACTTGCCACTTTGCGGCTTTTGCCGTTTTACCGAAGACGCGGCGGCCCAGAGGATGGATCCTGCAGGGCGGGCTGCTCGCCGGTATATTTATCAAACGAGCGATCTCGGTGTAACTACACGATATGCAGTGTGCTGAGGTTTACTTCATACCTGCCTGTCTTGCTTGAACTAAAAGATTGACGTAGTCCTAGTGGGCGAGTAAGTGGACGAGGCAAGCGGAGAACCGGTGCTGGGGTCAAATCATAATAGTAAAGGCTAAAGTGACGCTCCCCGCCTCCATTCCCCGTAAAGATTGGGGGGAAGACACCTTATAACACTTCAGCCGCTGCTAGGTTTTATATGGATGGGTACCTATTAGTCTAGTCTAATTGTCGTCTCCATCATTCCCAATTGCCGGCTGGGTGGAAGACGGTGGACTAAGTCCTTTTTTTTTTTTTAATTTTTAGTTTCATCTATGTCCGTTGTGTACTTTTGTTATACAGGATCCATGAGAAGGGGCAATATCCTAAAGGAGTAAATATCTGAGTAGTGCCTTAGTTGTAGATATGGCGGACGCAAAACTAGAAATCTCGTTTATCGGCTTGGGAGCCATGGGCTTCGGCATGGCAACCAACTTGGTCAAGCAGGGGTATAAGGTAACGGGTTTCGACGTCTGGAAGCCAACGTTGGATAAGTTCCAGGCGGTTGGAGGCGTCATTGCTACAACGCCGGCGGAAGCCGTCAAGGATAAGGACTACTGTGTGTGCATGGTAGCTACGGCGCAGCAAGCCCAAGCAGTCCTCATCGAGGGCGACAACGCCGCCCTCCAGTCCTTACCTAAAGGGGCTACCCTGATGCTGTGCTCCACGGTGCCGTGCGCATATGTCCAGGGGCTCGAGAAGCAACTTACCAAGTTGGGACGGAGTGATATTCGTTTAATTGATGCTCCCGTCTCGGGAGGTGCTGCGAGGGCTGCTGATGGCACTCTCTCAATCATGGCCGGAGGCTCCGATGAAGCACTCGAAAAGGGGCGCTTTCTCTTGCAGGAAATGTCTGACCCAAAAAAGCTTTACGTCGTCCAAGGTGGCGTTGGTGCCGGAAGTAATATGAAAATGTGCCACCAGGTCTTAGCAGCTAACCAGATCCTCGCCGCGAGCGAAGGGCTGGGATTTGCTAGTCACCTTGGTCTGGATCTCCACTCGACAAGTCAAGAGATTATAAAGTCTGACGCATGGGCCTGGATGTTCGAGAATAGACTTCCGAGGATGCTCGACCCCGAGTTCAAGCCCATTGCTAGTGCTCTAACCATCATCCTGAAGGACACGGGTATTATCACTTCAGAAGCTAGACGTGCCGCATTTCCTACGCCCATGACGAACACAGCGGAGCAGGTATATTTCTCTTGTCTTGGTCGGGGGTACGGCCCAGACGATGACAGCAGTTTGATCAGACTGTACACAGAAGGCAAAGGGAAGACAGGTCCAGTAAAGGGGCTCGCCGAAAACGACAAGTCAAAGCTGGCACTCGTTAAGGCGCTATTAAGGGGTATCTACCTGTGCTCTGCTGCGGAAACCATTGCTTTCGCAAAGAGATGTAATTTAGATCTTGACCAGGTCTTCGATCTTTGCGTAAACGCGGCCGGAGGAAGCGCCATGTTACAAACGGTCGGACCTGAGATTATAAAGTTGGCCCGGGGAGAGCAAGTATCGGTTGGCGACAGTCAGGGCCTAGCAGAACATGCTCAACAGCTACAAGAGGCTATCGAAGAGGCGCAGCGATTAAAGGTGCCGGTGTATCTCGGTAGCCAGGCGTTCGCTCTGACACAATTCGCGCTGCATATTTCCTCCGAAACAGCTGAGAGCGTTCCGAGAGCCAACGTTGCGAAGGTATGGGGTATATAAAATCGACACTGGGTCTGCTGGGAGACCTCGTCTAGCTTGTATGTAGGGATGTAGGAACCTAAAATGTATATACGATATATTGATAGTAAATCACAAATATTGCTTGATGGGTGGCTACGCATCTAGCCAATGCCAACGCCGATAGCCTGGAGTTGATTATAATGCAAGGAAGTGGGAGTGTATAGGAGGTAGACTTACAATTAAATACGTTTTTAAAACCATGCGAATTTATGAAATTCCTCTACCCCTGCTGTAGCAAACCCGAACGATGAAGACGCCTCGTAAACAATATAATATCAATTCAACTATGGCCAAATATAGACCTGTGGTATTAGTTTCTCGTCGACATTGACGAGCCTGTCCCAAACTAGACCGCCGTGCACCTGATTTTTTTTTTCTTTTATATATATATATATATATATATAAAAAGAAAAAAAAAAAAAAAAAAAAAAAAAAAACCCTTTTCATTAATAACCCCTATTCAACCATTTCACATTTCACCCTAGTAACCGCTCTGCTCCTGCCTATGATCCCCTTTTGCAGCCTCACCCGCGTCCTTGATCGCTTGCTCGTCGCCTCTGAGCTTAGCAAAATACTCTTTGATGTCTTCGGCGCCAATCGCCTTGCCGCTTTCAGCGAACTGCTGGAAGAAGGGCTTGAGGCGTTCCTTTAGATGGTTATACGCCATGACGCCTTCGATCGCACGGACGCGATCCACATTCTTTAGAGCCGACTCACCACGGTCATATAATGAGCCGCTACCATGAGTCGAACCTTGTTCGGATGCTCCGTCCGAAAGAGGGGGTTCGTATGCTTCCTCCTCTTCTAGGAGTTGCGGGTGAGCTTTAAGATCTGAGAAGCACGAGGCACATCGGCAAAGCCGGTCACGGAAATCCGAAGTGGTGAACAACGAAAATTGGCCACTTGGCGCGGGAGATAGAGATGCCACCTTGCACTCTCTAGCGGATGGAACTTGGCTTTCCTTCTGATCTTCATTCTTGATCTGCGGGGAAATCTCATGTGATTTGGCTGGAGGTGTAACGGTCTGCGCCTCTTCAGACTCATTCTTAACGCGCTTGTTACGTTCGCTATCTTCTCCAATGCCATCATCGCCTTCTAGCTTACGCTTCTTAGAGGATATCTCAATGTTCTTTTGCAAGAACACTGCTGGGAGAAATCCAGGCGTTCCAGCATACCTCTTAATCCAGGGATAAGCTTCGACGCATTTATAGCAGATGAAATGATCGAACGTATCTTCGGCGGGGAAGCTATCTGGTAGAGGGAGATCTTCATCCTCCTCTTGCGCTTCCTGGTTGCCATTGGCTTGTTGTTCCGGGCGGTTCTCCTGAGTGACGTTCTCAGAAACAGTGGGAAGTGTACCATTGCCATTGGCGCTATCAATATTGGTATTTGCGCTATGTGCTTTCTGCTTCTCATACCACTTGGGCCCTAGACCGACAAGACAGCCAGGATGATACCAATCCTCGCCGCAGCCACCGGTCTCATGAGTGCCGAGACCGAGGCATTGGTACATAGTACCTACCTGTTCGTTGGGATTGTAGTATATAGAACAGGAGCAAAAGCGATTGCGGAAGTTCTGGTTATATTTGTTATTAGGATCTGGCGGTTCGGAGTGGACGCCTCCCTTTGTGTTGGTATCAGGATTGATTCGAAGAGTGCACTGCTGGTCTGAAGTGAACCGAGTTGTACCGCAGTCACAAGTGAAATTGCGTTTTTGGAAGATCTCAACTAATTCATGCTCGCCGTGACATTGGACGGAGCATGCGTAGCACACGCCAGCAGGGTTATAGGGATCGGATGGATTCTCGGGAGGCGGATGGCAAGTTAGACAGGCGAACACATTCTGTAGCAATGGTCCAAGTGGCTTGGTGCAATGCTCGATGCTCTAAAGATAGCTATCTGTTAGCGAACCGTTGAATGATCGAGCTACGTGATATCGGCAGCGTACATAAGGGAGAGCTTCGCGGGCATCAGCCTCCAGCTGCAGTTGGTCTCTAATAAAGTCTGCGGCAGTTTGGGAGTCGTCGGATTGTTGCGACATGCTCTGGGCACGCGGGCGCGGGCGCGATTCGTTACCATTAGTTTCTGGCGCCTCCTGCGACGTAGTTGGAACGGATGATAGATCCATTATGATGACAATAATGGGTTGAGAAAACGGGAAAATAAGAACGTGGACCTATTGAACAAGAGACATAAAAAAATAAATAAAATAAAAATAAAATAAAACTGATGTTAGGTGTGGAAAGAAGAGTACATTGGAGGAAGTGTATGTAGACGTGTCGTCGCGTTGAAAGTGCTGAGAAGAATAGGCACTTTCGCCAATTGGTAGGAGCGCGCCGCGATGAGACCAGTTCTAAAAAAATGATGTCACAGTAAGTGCTTCGTCGGAGTGATACTAATTCGCACTATACGTTTGATTGAATAGATATTATGCACAATATGCACAATATGCGCATTACATAGAGATGCACGATGCGCCTGTGGAAAAGAAACAGAAAACTCTTAGTCTCAGGTACCTTCCACGTACCCTCTTAGGTTAGGCGGCGTGTATGTAAAATATCTAAGATATCGAGGGGTTTCTCTAAAAAGAAACCACTTTACGCGTAAAATCCGCGTAAAGACGCGACTTCGAATTTGTTTCGTCGCGTCCACCCCCACAATCCAACTTTAGTCCCCTTTCTCTTCATTTTCGCTCTTGGGTTCCACCCTCACTGTTCGTTCCTCTCATCCTCGTTCTAAGTTTCTTTCCCGCATTACTAACTATTTCTCTGACTATCAGCGAAGCGGAGAATAAAAAAAAAAAATACACAATGAGGTGAGTTTATCCCGCTTATCCCGTACTAAAATAAGAAACAATATATAAATTATTATTATAAATATAAGTTTCATTTCCCTAACCTCCTTCTAGTTCTCCTCTGCGTATGAATATGGACTCCGCAAACCGCGGTACCGCCCCTCGTGCGAACCGCAAGCGTTCTCGCACGGGCGGCGATGCCTCCTCTTCCGTTGCTGCCTCTAGCCCCATGCCCTCTTCTCCGCCAGCCTTTAACATTGCTCATGGCGGTGACGACGATGACGATATAGAAGAGGAGGCTGAGGTCCAAGATGACTTGGACGACCTTGACGAGATGGCCGAGGATGATGTCGATCTCTTTCGCGAGGGCTTCGAGCGAGATTACAGAGAGAAAGATGAGAATGATGTTTACGAAGGGATCGATATCGATGACGAAGGCGAATACGATGATATAAATATCGGTGACAGACGACGGCTAGAAGCCCAGCTGAATCGCCGAGATCGAGAGGTGGCACGTATACGCGGAATGCCCCAGGCCTTCCTCCAGGATGAAGATGAAGACGGTGATATTGATCTAACTGCCCAGCCACGTCGCCGTCGTCATCATTACGACGAGGATCCCGACGATCAAATGGACCAGGATATCATGGACGAGGAGCTCTCACTTGAGGCGCTGCAAGATGTAAAAGCCGCAAGCCTGACCGAATGGGTATCCCAGCCTTCCGTGCAACGGACTATCAAGCGAGAGTTCAAGGCATTTTTAACAGAATATACCGACGAGAGCGGTTCCTCGGTCTATGGTAACCGTATTCGAACACTTGGTGAAATTAACGCCGAGTCGCTCGAGGTATCATACGACCATTTGTCCTCGTCTAAGGCCATTCTCGCATACTTCCTTGCTAACGCTCCCGCTGAAATGCTTAAGCTCTTTGACGATGTGGCCATGGAAGTTGTTCTCCTTCATTATCCCGATTATGAGCGTATCCACTCTGATATCCACGTTCGTATTTTTGACCTGCCCGTTCACTATACTCTTCGCCAGCTGAGACAATCGCATCTCAATTGTCTCGTGAGAGTGAGCGGTGTTGTTACCCGACGGACTGGTGTCTTTCCCCAGCTGAAATATGTCAAATTCGACTGCACCAAATGCGGCGTGACACTAGGTCCTTTCCAGCAGGAGTCTAACGTCGAGGTCAAGATTTCGTTCTGCCAGAACTGCCAATCTCGTGGTCCATTCACCTTGAATTCAGAAAAGACAGTCTACCGCAACTACCAGAAGCTGACCCTCCAAGAGTCGCCTGGTACTGTTCCTGCTGGTCGTCTACCTAGACATAGAGAAGTCATCCTCCTCTGGGATCTCATTGACAAGGCCAAACCTGGGGAGGAAATCGAAGTTACCGGCACCTACAGAAACAATTATGATGCTCAGCTAAATAACCGCAATGGGTTCCCCGTTTTTGCTACTATTCTCGAAGCAAACAACGTTATCAAGGCGCACGATCAGCTTGCTGGGTTCAGGCTTACCGAAGAGGACGAGCATGAGATTCGCAAGCTTTCTCGAGACCCCCAGGTTGTCGATAAGATAATCAACTCGATAGCGCCTAGCATTTACGGACACACCGACATCAAGACCGCCATTGCCTTGTCTCTTTTCGGTGGTGTTGCAAAAACCACCAAGGGCGAACATCATGTACGAGGAGATATCAATGTTCTGCTACTTGGTGATCCTGGTACGGCCAAGTCCCAGGTTTTAAAGTACGTAGAAAAAACAGCGCACCGAGCTGTCTTTGCTACTGGCCAGGGAGCATCTGCTGTCGGTCTTACAGCTAGTGTTCGTCGAGACCCCCTAACTAGCGAATGGACTTTGGAAGGTGGCGCTTTGGTGCTTGCCGACAGGGGCACATGCCTTATTGACGAGTTCGACAAGATGAATGACCAAGATCGAACTTCTATCCACGAGGCTATGGAACAGCAAACAATCTCCATTTCAAAGGCGGGAATTGTTACTACTCTACAAGCTCGATGTGGTATTATTGCGGCAGCTAATCCGATCGGCGGCCGTTATAATTCTACGATCCCCTTTTCAGCCAATGTTGAACTGACCGAACCTATCCTGTCTCGTTTCGACATTCTCTGCGTGGTGCGAGATACCGTAGACCCGACTGAAGACGAGCGTCTAGCTCGATTTATTGTCGGCTCTCATAGCCGGAGTCATCCATCTACACAATCGGGTGACGATTCCATGGAAGTTGAGCACGACTCTGAAAAAGCACAGGAGACCCAAGCGCAGCCAAAGAAGGAAGGCGAGATCTCACAAGGGTTACTACGCAAATATATCCTGTATGCCCGAGAGCATTGCCAACCGAAGCTATTACATATGGATGAGGACAAAGTTGCACGACTCTTCGCAGATATGCGACGAGAGTCACTGGCTACCGGGGCGTATCCCATCACGGTAAGTTGTCTAAATTCTATTTTGATATGTTGAGATGATAAACATTAACTTAGCTATTAGGTCCGTCATTTAGAAGCTATTATCCGAATCTCGGAGGCCTTCTGCCGAATGAGGTTATCGGAGTATTGTTCCGCTCAGGACATCGACCGTGCCATAGCTGTAACTGTCGACAGCTTCATCGGCAGCCAGAAGGTCAGCTGCAAGAAGGCGCTCGCGCGCGCATTTGCCAAATACACGCTAGCGCGGCCTGGCGCAACTGGTGCACGGAGAGGTGCGCAGACTCAACGCAGAACCGCGGTAGCCGCTTAGACTATGGTGTGAGTTTTTGATCGTTCATGGCGTAAATTAATGTCGGGAAGTAATGAAATAATGCGGCGTCTAGAGCATGGCACTAAAGTTTGGGCGTTAAGCTTTGATGACGAGTGATGGGGACGCGGATGGGGTAATATGGTTCATGGGGCTTTCGTGAAGTAGGCTATCAATTAGTACGCTTCACCAAATGAAATATTTTAAACAATCAAGACTCTATCCGAATAGGAGGTGGCATCTTGCAAAGTCAGTAAATACCTCCTTCACGGCTCCTCTACCTTTGTTCTATATCTCTGACTGAACCTTCCTTCGCGTTCATCTTCCCCCTTTAAACACCGCCTCTCAGATAGATAGATAAGGCTAAATTTTAATAGGTACCCTTAGACATTTATGTGACTGATCCTAAACTTTAAGCAGTACAGCTTTCAATAAGTGGCCTGAGTGATAGCAACGTGTCAAACCGCGGTTGACGTATTTTTATACTCCTAGGTACTATCTAAAGTTTCAATATCGCGGACTCCGGTTTTGGAAATGTATATTTATTTATCTCTATACTTGCCACCTGCAGTCTATTTTTCTGTTTGCTTCTGGCCACATGTATGCAAGGCAATTAAAAAGTATAAGATATCCGGACTGCCTTACAAACCTCATCGAAAAAAAGCCTTGGATTTTGCTATACCAAAAAATCAGATCTAACGATATCGTTATTCAATTACCCTTACTTATCACGTTATACTTTGCTCTTTATTCTATATCATGGATCTCACTGCCTCCAATGGAACGGGTGATACTTCGCTCAAGAAGGTCATCACAACCCGGCAGTTTGTCCTGATGGCTCTAAGCAGCTCTATTGGCGCCGGCGTGTTGCTAGCTACTTATTCCAGTTTGGCAGTGGGAGGCGCCGCGTCACTTCTTATATCTTTCATTGTGGTCGGGTTTGCCGTGTGGATCACCATGTGCGCTCTAGGCGAGCTCTCGGCTGCATTCCCAGTTAGTGGCTCTTTCTACGGGTATTCGGTACGGTTTATCTCGCCCGCCTGGGGTTTCGCCATGGGGTGGAACTACGTTATCAACTTCCTATTCATCGTCGTCTTCGAGCTGGTGGTCATGCTGCTTTGCGCAAGATACTGGGATCCGGACCTGCCAGCATACTACGTTCTTCCGGGTTTCATAACCGCCCTCGTCCTCGTGAACGCCTTTGGAGCAAGGTGGTATGCCGAGGCGGAGAACGTGTTTGCGGTCTGCAAGATGATGGTACTCACAGCTTTCGTCATTGTCGCCGCCCTTATTGTCAGCAAGTCCATTCCGGCTGATACCCGACCTGCCGACGAGCTTGGTATTAGCCTGTGGCAACAAAATGCATTCAAACATGGCCCCATAGGGTTTCTCTATGTCTTCATGACTGCCGGGATGGCATATGGAGGAACTGAGATGCTTGGGCTCACGGCTGCCGAGTGTGAAAAGCCTGCCAAAGTGATGCCTCTTGCTTGCAAGATTGTGCCATTACGGATCGTCTGGCTATATCTGGTTCCTATCTTCATGATCGGCATGGTACTTAACGTATCCCTTGACGACACTGTGCAATCTGGTGCAATTAGTCCCCTTGTTGCTGCGATGGACCAAGCCAATATCCCGGTACTGGCTAATGTGTTTAACAGCATTATCATCGTGGCCATCTTCTCAATGGCGAGCGCCAGCGTCTTTGCCTCATCGCGCGCTCTTCAAGCCATGTCGTCGAGAGGAATGGGACCACATCTCTTCGCAAAGATAAAATGGGGCCATCCCATCTGGGCACTTTCCCTGGTATTCACGATCTCGCTGTTGTCGTTCGTCAAAATATCCAAAGCCGGCGACTTGGTGTTTAACTGGCTCTTGGCTCTGGCTTCTGGTTCAAACTATTTCACCTGGATATCCATTTGCGCATGCCACATTCGACTCCGGCTCGCTATACGTAAAAAGGGACTGGATGAGAAAGAGGTATTAAAATGGAAATCCCCACCTGGAATCGGCGGAAGCATGTTGGCAATCATAATATTCCTCTTCGGTCTCTCAGCTCAGATCATCGCGGCTGCACAGAGTCCGCTCCCAAATCCACCTCACATCCTCGCAAGTTTTCTAGGAATTATTGTGGTATTCGTATTCTGGGCAGGATATATGGTACTCGGGAAAAGTGCGCTTTTAATTCCCCTCGATCAAATCGATCTTCATGCCAAGGTGGCGGAACGGATTGAGAACGACGAGAGCGTTTAAGATTGGCAGAGACGGGATCAACTATCGCATACGTATAATGTATTTATATAAATGGATAGGGTAAAATGGCTATTAATGTTCTTCTTACCTTACAAGCGTCTGCGGATAAATGGCATTAGGTGATGAAGAGTATACATAGTATGGATGTTAGGTCCATTATGTATGAGATAGCCTATAGGTAATGAGGTAGGTACCGAACCTTTGTAATTCAAATAAAGGTTGTATTAGGTAATCGAGCTAAAAAGCCATGTTGTCGTCATCCTTTACGTGGAGGTAACAGCAATAACGTATTAGCTGCATTGGTGACGAATATGCCTAGCTGATAGTGACCCAAGTAATGTATTTTATTCAGGTACCTACTTCCTAGGTAGGTACCTATAATACCTAACCGATAGGTACCAAAACACAACTAAAGTCTAAACCCCAATCCACCCACTAAAGGATTAAGCCTTTAGGTTGCGATAGAAGCTCGAAACTCTCAACAATAAAACGTCTCAAGAGTCAAACCCGACAGCTACTCCAACAAAAACAACAACAACAGCAACAAATAACAACTTGTTCAAGTATTTTACAAACGGCACCGGAAATATGCAGGGAAACGGCACTGGCGCTGGTCCCGGCGCAATGTCGATTGGGCCCACGCCTGCCGGCCATCAGGCCGAGCTTAACATAATTTACGGCATGGTCGAGGAGCTGTCGCGTCAGCTGGCTGAGAACAGACGAGTGACTGAGGATATCGTGTCAGGACTTGGCAGGGTGCGCAATCGGGCGCGGGACCGTGGTTTGACAAACGACCAAGTGCTCGGAGAAGCTGCAGATGAAATATTTGGTACGTCTTACTGCGCTACTTTTACTAGCCATGTCTCATGTCTCCAGCGGTCTGCTCAAGTGGTCTGCTCAAAGTGGTCTGACTTCTAATACAACATCATAGCGCAAGAACCCAACCTCGAAGCCCTCGTGTCTATCTTAACAGAATCCCTCGACCGTGCCAAGCTCTCCCGCGACGCCAACTTCTCTCTTCTTACCAGCTACGCTCGAGTTCTCGCCAATATACTCTCTCAATTCCACGCCTACAAGCAGAAGCATGTGGCTGACGTATCTGCCTGGCATCGTTCTTACCGAGCACAGTTGGCCGAAGCCCGCGCCGAGAACTCACGTCTGCGCGAACAGATCTGGGAGATGCAGGAGCACGCCGGTCGCGCCAACCAGATGCTGCGCGAGTTCCGCAAGAAATACGATGAGAACGAGGAGAGGTGGGAGAAGCGTGTTGACAATAAGGCTAGGAGACAGGAGATTCGCTTCTGGAAACGGATGGCTATGCCCGAGGTTGGTGAGTCCGAGGAGGGGTACTGGAGCGACGACGACGATTTAGTAGACCCCGTTGAGAAAGAACGGTTAAAGGAGGTGGAGCGTAAAGATGCCGAACAGGCCCTTGCTGGCGTCGGTAGTACTAGCAGCCAGGGGGAGGACTCGGAGGGAGAAGGAGGCGAGCCACGAGTCCCGTCAACAAGCATGATCGGTGGCGTGGCTATGGATAGAGAGGGAAGTGAAATGGCAAGGATGGCACCAGTACCACCTCCAAGACCATCCAGTGCGGGGAGTACGGGGAGCATAGGACAACAACCCGGCTAGGAGGTTGGATGTAAGTTTGCACAGCACTTAAATATGCATTCGTATGGCGTTGAGGCTGACTCGATCAAATAATACCCCCGAATGAGAGCGGTTCGAACTAGTTGGATTGATTGCTTATGCCGCCTACCCTGAAGTTTGACGTGAAGACTTGTTAGGTATCTCTTATCAATGTAATGTAGGCTGTTCCTTTTATTTGTAGTTACGACGTACGCCTGCCTATTATATTACACTGTACCAAGGCATGTCCATAATACCAGCAACCTGTCGCCTCAATCAAGCAAAGCTCTTGATGCAGGTCGTCTTTAATATTGCTGACTTCATTTCGATGGGAAACCTGGGACTTCATCTTGTCCTGGTATGGGATATGGCCTCTTGATCGTTGCTGTCGCCTAGATTTCCATCTGGACTTCCGAAGAGTCTAGTAGCTATGTTTGATATCCTAACTACCTGGGTAGTTGTACGAAAGCGTTTGTGAAGTATAAGGGACCTTTTTATAGAGACAGCTTCTAAGGTGGCCTATATGTGAGCTGAGAGAGAGAGAGAGAGAGAAAAAGGAGGAAATATTAAGTTGCTGACCAATGATAAGATGGAATCCTTGCTGTGGAGTGAACGATGACGAAAACAACCTGGCCAGTCTGACATAACTAGGGAAATTAAGCAACTAAGTCGTGGTTCTTAAAACCAATATAATTACCTATTCGATGTGTTCAACCAATAATACAACTCAAAGCTCTCCTGTATAGCGCGGCGAGTAAATACGGAACTTCAAGATAAACAACAATAATTCGCATACTATGAACTATCTACGATGCTATGTCCTTCTATAGCACGCAAGAAAAAGACACATATTAAATGAGTTAATAAATCCTCCATCCCCTCCCCTGCCCTCCCCGCGCGCCATGTCAGTACCTCCAGGGGGTTGGGTCTGCAATTGCTGGGCTGCGACCCTCCGCATCATCAGCCAATCCGAAAAGGCATTCCGACCGCAATCTTCCTCTTCTGGTCAACAGCTATCCCAAAGCATGTCGATTAGTGATGTGCTCACTCTTAGCCGTAACCTTCTCCAGCATTGGGAGCTCTTAAACGGCTGCGCTAGCTCCGATACCCATCTCAACCCCTTAGTCTTTCGCCTCATAGCTGACGCTGTCAGTCGCATCTTGACCTTACACGAATTGGCATTCCAAGCTTTGTCCAAAGAAGATGCACCGGATATCACGGAAGCAGGCACGTGGCAGAGTCCTGACGGGGGGACCAATCTAGACATTGCCGGAAATGTCGTGCCACAGATCCGGAATACCATACCTATTTGCATTTCCAGCCTGGAGCTAGACGACAAGGAAGAGATCGCCATCGTGTGTCGGGAGACTTTAAAACACTCCACCATGCGTCTTGGGGCAATACTACAGGATATAGAAGAGGAGTCTCGCCAGTTCGACCGGGACCAACTTACTAGCGTAAACAACCCGTTGCGAGATAAAGAGATAAGAGAGCTCATTGGGAGGTTGTTTCGTATATTGGGGAGAGCGAATTAGGCCAGGACGATGTTGGTATTATAAGCGTAGATGTAAGTCGGTGAGGTCTATAGAATAGGCTTCTCATGGGATAGGTATTTCAAAATCTCGGTGTATTCATATCTTCTCTACGGTCACATATGCATCTTGTATATAAGCTATTGGTATAAGAATGAGAAGGGGTGCACATATATAGAGCATCCACTCGGCATTCCCTTCTCATACACTATTATCACTGGGGTATCATACTTCAAAATCCTATCCCAACCACCCCATTCCTCCTTGCAAAGACTCCATCCTCCTCAATAAGTCCTGTATCAAGAGCCTTGCGGCATCACCTAGAACCGCAGCGCTATCACCCCAGTCCAGGGGACCGCAGAGGGAATCTCTCTGATCGCTTCCTTGTCGTACCCTCTCCATCTCCCTTAGCGTCGTTTGTATCTTCTGTATCCGTAATCGCAATATGGGCACGACACAACGCGCCTTGACCGCGTTCTCTACTATAAAATCGCCGATACGTATGTGAAGGTTGGCCGATGGAATGGGAAATATGCACGGCTGGTCAAGTATGCTGCGAAAGGAGCGTTCAAGTCTGCGGGCCATAGTCCCTTGGAGAGGAGTGCTGCACGGATCCTGTATCATTCCTCTTGCCGGGTTGGATCCCGAGGCTGCGAAGCGGAAGTTCTCTTCGAGCATGGCAATGACGCGCTCTACTAGTATAGAGAGACTGAGAAGTACGGGTCTGTCAGAGGCTAGACAACTCCTTCCACGGTTAGCGTGGCCAGTGCAGGAGAAAAGGCATTGCTTTAGGGCTCGGAAATCGCGTTCTGCTTCGAGTGCGAGATCTATTGGCGGAGGACATGGCGCAACGTTCAAGGCCTGTTCTAACTTTGCGATTCGCATGAGAATAGCTGTGTAGCAGTCGGTAGCAGAGTCCGAGAGAGCCTGTCCAATGGGCCCATCAAGAACCACCAGATGAGCGGACCTCGGAGTTGCGTTTGGCGGCCCTGAGCTAAAGGGCCCTGTGTTGCTTGTTGGTATATTACCCCAAGAGTCCACTTCATGGCGCGGAGTACTGCTGTGATCAACCGTAGGAGTGAAACCACCAGAATGGGAGTGATGAGATGTCTCGATATCGTTACTAATCGGACTATTGTGATGATCAACACATAAACCGCCCGCGAGGCTGGGATCCCAACTCCGGAGGTGACTTTGCGATGTGCTAGCACCATACGATTCCAATCCTATGCTAGCAAAATCCGTTTTTTGGGGCAAACCATTTCCATCTCCACTTCCTCGTTGACAGTCAGTTGCAGTACCATTGCTTGGTGCTGGAGCTATCGTCTCAGAACTTGGCGGACTCTCATCTACAGAACTTGTGGAAGTAACAAGATCGACTTTCTTAGGCCTTCCCATGCGTCTTAGAGGGCTGTAAATGCATCGAACTCCTTTGCTGACACATCGCAGCTTGATGTTTTGGCAGCGATCGCACGATGTGCGGTACTTGACGGGTTTGTGGGGAGGCAGAGGTGATGCAGCCATTTGAAAACGCTTCGCGCTGGAAGCCGCAGAACCCTTCACAATTCCTCGGTTTATTTTTCAGGTATCTAGAGGTTTTTTTTTTTAAAAAAAAAAAATCTGTGTTCGTTTTCTCATGGGGTTTCCTGAAGCTACTTGGAACGGTGATAGCTTCATGGTGATATATAAGTGGTTTAGGTTAAAGCTGATGCTTATCATTAATTGATTATTTACCTCCTAGGTACCTATGTAAGTACCTAACATAATGAACTAAATTTGTTACGTACCGGGTAAGTGCCTAAAGTAATCACGCTTATAAAATAATGTATTTCAACACCGATTAAAATAAGTCGCTTTCCATGTGACAATTTCTTAAAGTTCTGAACAATTGTAACAGGTATCTAAGTTGTTGTTTTTTTTTTACTTAAATTTACTTACAACTACCGGTAACATGTAAATGCCCCTTAGATGAACTTTAGTACCTAATCTACCTATATCTATAAGCCAAAGGGGGTATTAAGAATCATATAAACTGAGATAAGAAAGGCTTATTAATGCACTCTATTAACGAATACACATTATCTGATATTGATTCCGTCGTATTAGTTTCCTCGACGCATCTAGGATCTACTTACAACTTTACATATACGGGGCTTGTTAAAACCACACAGTATATAAGACCCTCTATCTTTGCCTTTCTGGAGCCGACGTAGATAATCGCATGTTATTTATGAAGGGTCATTATATCACCTTTAAACAACGCTCGTATATGCAATCCGAGATTCGGAAATTGACTGTGCTTATGGTCGTAGTATGCAGGACCCGTGGCTAGCTTACGGTTCATATTATTATAAATTATAGCTGATTATATTGGTGGCAAGCCTGTGAAGGGGGGTAGGTAGCCTGGTAAATTAATAATATATTATTGCGATGGATCCGTACAACCGGCGATAGTATATGACAGTCCCTTATTGGAGCTACTCAAACTTGGACAACAGGCGTTACCGGCTAAGTTGGCGAACTTGTCCTCCCTCCGTACATATAAGAGAACCCAGGCGCTTGAAAAAGATTTGCAGATAGCAAAGATTGTTCGACTGTTACTTAACAAACCGGGGCCTGGACCCGCGAGCTTGGGACCGACCGTTAGTATGGACGTCGAGCCATTTTTTCAAGCACAATCGCGGCGAGCCATTGTAGATCACTCCGCATTGAATCTGACCAGCAAGTTTGTGGAATGAAAGGCAGTGCAAACTGCTGAAGACCTTGCCTAGATCAAATGCTTGCCAACGCACAGGTCAACAATGGAACATCCCGAGCAATCCGGCAGCACCGACTTGACATTTCAGGGGGTGAAATCCCTCTTCCATTCTAATCGGTTAAGCGACCGCGACGGCCTCTTTCTATGTATAGATCATACACCCTCAGAACAAGTAATGGGTAGGTCTTGTAAGGTGTCGCGAGCCTTTCCCCAAGACACTTGGAGGAATGACTTTTCTATATCTGTACAAAATAGATAGAAAAAGGAGCTTTTACGGAGGAAGAGAGTATTGGGGGGCATGGGTTGAAATATGAACCATGTTTCACAGCACGACAGGGACAGCATCACGACATGGGCAATTCCTTCGTCGTAAGAAAGCCTCGCTCGATTGGACATTTGAAAAATCTCTGCTAATTTGTGTGAGGGGATCGAGAACTTTGACCGATGTTTCCCTCCAGATAGCAGATGCGTCCAAAGTCTAGAATCTCATGTAAGTAGAAAATTGTTCTATGCCTAAGAAGTAGGCATTGAAGTTGAGGCCGATAGAAAAAAAAAATGATGAAACCGCCCTGCTCAGCTTCTGATAGGTTTATTTGAGCGGCGACTCTTTTTGGCAGAACCTATTGATAAGGCTGGCAGTCAACACGATCTTTGCAAGGAATGAGAGAGCTGATATACGAAAGTTATATCTTGAAAGAGCAACCTGCTCTCTATCAGCATTACATAGCAGCGGAGCAGATTGGGGTAAGACAGTCTAGACTTTCCAGACTGGAGTGTCGTGTCAGGTCGGGTGGTGATAAGCAGGATGAGGAACCGCACTTACAGTAAAACCGTACCATAACGAATTGAAAAAAACAGCGAATCAGATTCGTTATGGTGTAAATTCGCTTTAGAGAGTATATTGGAGCTAGTACCAAAGCGGTAAGGGGTGCTAGGTACGTCTAGCGAAATTAAGGATGACTTTTCTAAAAGTAGCTTAGTGTATATCCTAAAACGGTATAGCACTACCTATTCTATAACGAATTTGGTGGTGACTAAGCATGAAATCTAACGAAATTCGTTAACAAAAAAATTCGTTAAGGGGTGAATTCGCTATAGAGTGGATTCGTTATGGTACGGTTTTACTGTAGTAGTGTCCATTGGCTTAGCTTGAATCAAAGGGCGAAAGAAAGAATATCACTGGACGAGAGTGCTCAAATGAAAACCCCAAGCACTTGCATACCGCCGGACCTAGGCCGTCCGGCACTTCAACTGATAAGATGGGATCTTCGTAGCAAATCTAAATGTAACTAGGAAATGATATGCGCTTCTTCCCTGTTAGGCCAACGGGGAATTTTCTCGAAGTTGAAAAGATCGTCGGTTACTTCTCTGGGACAGCGGGGTTGAAAAGTAATCAGCCTCCAACGTATGGCCATTCACAACAACAATAAGCCCCAGTTATTTGTTCAACCAAATCTTGTATGCGGAGGAATAGGTATGTAAACTAGCAGGAGAAAAAAAGACAAAAAAAAAGATATGTTGTTGTATTATCAGACCGCGCGGTAGAATGATAATAATAGATACTAGGCAGGGCTCGTGGGAATAAGGTATATTCTGGGCGCGCGCTTAATACGAATAGAGTTCCTGTATTTTTTTTTTTTTTCTATTTTTTTCCCTTCCGCGGCTATCGCCAGTAAACGCTAAGAACTATGTACTTACATAGCAGCTATAGTACTCAGCGCCTTAGCAGGCAGATATATTTGATGAGCTGTTCATCCGAGGTAGATACTACGGTAAGACAGTTTGCTGTAATCCGCATGGAATTGGAAATTGGAAAAGGAAAAAGGAAAATTGAAGCTAGCTAAGGCTGACCAATTCGGCGAGGTACCTCAGGTAGGTAGGTATCTACCTTATGTAGGTACACTAGTGCAGGGGGGCCCATTTTATCTTTCGTCGTTTCACTATAGGCCCCTGCCAACCGTTGGACTGAGCGTTCAACTTAGTATTGTACATAATACTACAGTACTTACCTATTTTATTGGTTGTTATGGTGTGCTGAGTACAGTTGCCATGAGGTGCCAACTCAGCGCCCTGGGCTGTCAGGCTGTACAGTACCTTGCATAACCCAGGGCCACGCTACCTAACCTACACTACCTAAGGCAGCCCTGCTAAAATAGGTATTGTATCAAAGCTAAGCTAACCTATCCTAGAACTGCATATGCCCTTGGGGGGGGGGGGGGGGGGGGGGGGGGGGGGGGGGGGGGGGGGGGGGGGGGGGGGGGGGGGGGGGGGGGGGGGGGGGGGTT